TCTCAATAGTTGAGCTTGTCCCTCTGTGTGTAATGAGTGTTTTTTCTCTTTTTTCAGATACTATCGATGTCTGCACACTTACTTTAATAAAAGCAGTGGCACTCTCCACCTTATAGGCATTTCAGCTGCGTGGGACACACAGCATGTGGATCAGTCTCAGTCATTTTCCTCCTTAAATCCCCATCTTCTAGGATTTACTGAAATTCATATTGGCTGCCTCTGCAAGATAAATGTAAATCACATTCCCTTATATTTACTATTTATCAGGATGCAGCAGCTCACTTTCAGCAGGAAATATCTCTCACCCGCACACAAACACCCTTGCATTTAAATAGCATTTTTATTGTCCGCCGTAGCCTTTCATCTGGGCGTAGGGAGAAGAGCTGCCTCTCCAGGGGAGAGAGCTGGAGCAGGAGGAGAGGGAAGGTGGGGAGAGGGAGAGAACGCAAAGCGCCATTGGCAGGGCATCGTTTGGATGACATAAAGATGCCAAGAGCAGAGAAGCAAGGTTGGTAGGTGAAAAAATAGATTATGAATACACCAAGAGCCAACCAGAAATATGTTGGATGGGGAAAGGAAAATGGCAGCACTCTGCAGCTCAAGAGACTTAAAAATAAAGATGGAGCAACAAATGGCTCAGGTGCACACATTCTGGAAAACAGAAGCTCCACCATGATGCTCCGAAGAAAAGCGATCTGAACTCTTCAGAATCGGGGCAAAAACAAGCCCACCCAGCAGGAGACTGGTGCTACATTTCAGAAAGGGAACATTAAGGTTAAAAAAATCTTCCTTTAGAGTTTGAAAGTGTTGCGAAACAACAGCAAACACTAATAATCTGTTCAGAAACAGTATAGCCAGTGGATACGATTTACAGCCCCTGGATTTTCTTGGCAACTGCCGACAGCAGGTCTCTTTTCTCTAAAGCTTCTTACATCTTTTTTTATACTTGCCAAATTGAAACAGTATTTGTTTTAATGGGAGTTCTAATTAACCAGTATGTATTCCCCCACTTGCTCTGCGAGTGGCTGAGCTGTGAATGCAGGCTATGTGCTCATCCCCTTTGATTTGTTGTCAGTGGAGGCTGCCAGCTGACACGGTGCCCGGTGAGAGGCTTAATGCCCAAGTTTTAATAATGTGGGGGACTACATGAGTCTCCCCCTCTCATTGGTATTCAGGTGCAGGATGTCTTGTTAGAAGTCAGGGAGGGAGGCGGAATGAAGCCAGAGCCCCAGATTGTTCTGTACGTTTCTCCCCTCTTCGTTTTTATATGTTTATTTATTTATTTTTTATTTTTTGGCAACAGCAGAGCTAGCTTCTTAAAAATAATTCATCCCATTTTTAAAAGAAGCGTCTGCGCTAGCTAATGGAAGAGCAGCAGCACAGTTTGGAGTCTCCCCTGGCTTATCTCTCTCAGACAGTTGTGGGGAGTCGCTGGTGAGCATGGTGTCAGTGTGCGTGGTACGGTGCAGCGCCGCGCGGGCAGGCAGGCCTGGGGACACAGATCAAAGGGAGGCAGGGGTGAGAGCCGCTCTGCCTCTGATCCCGCATACGTGTGTGTGTGTGTGTGTGAAGGCCCGGCCCACTCACACAGCCCAAAGGCCCTCCTTATATGCACTCTCTCACACACACACACATCCTTGTCATTCCAAAACACACAACAGTTACACAAAACTGCAAAACAGAAGAAAAAAAAAGTTTCTCAAGAAACTTTATGAGCTCCCTTCATAGAAACAGCTATAAAATCTCTATCAGGGTAGATCATCACCCTGCCGCAGCGCGTCATGAAGGTTTGAGGGTCTTTGCAGGCTCTAATCCACCGATTTCAGAACAGAACACGCCTTTTTAGATCGGAGGTTTCCAAGAACCAAAGAAACTGAGGTCCAGCGGCTGAAGCTCTTTCGACCTGGACGACTGGATGTGCACTCCCCTTTTGCAGCTGCAGAGCGGTTGTTTATCCTTCCTCTCCCAGCAGGTGTCTCCGTCACACAGTCATGAGGAAATGAGCCCAAATGTTTTCCCATTGAGCCAAAGCCCTGATTCAGAAAATATTTCAATATTCATTTAATGAAGGTCTTCCTGCAGCCTCACACTTCTTGGACTGATGTTCATTAGAGAAGACTGAAGGAGACCTTTCAAACTGGTATTCCAAAGCTTGTTCTGTTTTTATTTAGGATTCAGGTTTAACCAATGTGATCTGAACGGAATCAGAAAAGCCGACCGTTCCTTCAGGTGAAAATGGCAGAAAAATCCAGGCAGGCCCGTCCTCTATGCCAATGCCGTTCCCCCCCGCCCCACCCCACCCCCAGCACCTGCTGTGCTGCTAAATGAAACAAGACCAACAGCACAAACACACTTCTGCTCTCATACCTTTTCGCCCAGGCAGGCACAGCTTTACTCTCACGGACCCTTAACACACTCGACTCCCTCGACCAGCCAAACATGTTGTACATCCAAACGATGACAGCAACCAGTTTGGAGCGCCGGATGGCTATTCCACAGTCTGTAATGGGAAAATGTGTGCTGTCGGGATAGGCTATGGGATTGGGATGGACGTGAGCTCCTGTCGGGACCGCCGAACACTCCGGGATTCCATTACAAATTTGGCACCTTGCCATCATTGCCCATTTGCTGCGAATCACAGAATTTTTGTCAATCTTTCCAGCAACTGCAAAGCCATCTGTGCCAGACACTTGAGGAAATCAGCTCATACGTACCAATGCACGAGCCTATCTGCTGCACACAGATTCTGTCTGTAACGGGCAACATCATCTCCATCTCCATAGTCTTTTTTTCCTTCTTTTTCATTACATGGAAGGGAAGAGGGTAGGATGTCGGTAATGTGCCATTTCAATGAACGTAAGCGTTGTCTAAATGGGGTCCGGAGTTAACCGGAGTGTTTACGGTGGGAATTTTCTGTTTTGTGACTTTTGTGTAGCGGAACGCTTGTGGAGCGAGGAGCCCAGCTCAGTGGGGTGCTGCACCGGGGAGTGAACTCTGACTTTCCTATCAGTGGGAACATCCATCTCCATGCTGGGAGACTGATAGGAATGCCACACAGTGCTCCGTCTGCATTCAAACCATTCCACTTCAGTGCAGTACACACACACCAGTGCAGGCAGCACATCGATCACAGAACACACACCTTTAACCCTCTGATGCATGAATTATGAGATCTTCAACCATGATTTTTTTAACAATTTTTTTCATTCCTCTTTAGGTGTGAATGAAACAAATTTCAACAAATATTTTTTGTAACATTTTGTTAATTTACAAATAATTTATTACATGTCCATCTCAGTGGACAGCGTGCATTCTGAACATGAAATATGTTGACTTGGCTTACTGAAGTCCAAATGGAGGGGCTCACATGCAATAAAGTCTTCATCAGCTGTGCTTGCAAAAACTAATAAATTACAATTTTGAGTACCTGTCCACTGTAGTGACCATTATGCATCAAAGGGTTAATTTAAAAAATAAATAAAAAAGGTGGATTTTTAAAGACAGTTTGGTCAATCACTAATTGAATAGTGGAAATCCAGTTGTCGAAAGGCCCCTGTCCTAATCCTCACTATGACAGGAGACGTTTAATATCCCGACACATTCTTGAATGGCTCTAAAGAGGGGGAGGGGGCATCGTTCACCCCATGCCAGTATTAGAGAGAGCCATTAATAATAATAAAGAAGCCTCCATGTTCCTGGTGTTTTCTGCAGGTTTGCAGCGAGAGCATTAGCTGCTAAAACCCCTGTGCCACGATTAACAATCAAACACGCTGTGAGCCTCCATGTTATCCTCCGTCGCTCCAGCAGGAGAGAAAATCTCTTTTTTGTCACAAAATCCTTAATTCTTTCTTCTCTGAAGAAAGAGGGTAATACCAAGAATGTTTCCAATCTGCTTTGAGAAATATTTGAAGATGAGAGAGAGAGAGAAAAAAAAACTCCCAATAAAACATGTGTGAACGACGGGGTAATTGTGGACAAATGCAGCATTGAAATTCATTTTCAACTCTTTACACACCATTTCAATCTTATTTTCTGCCTGTTAACCACATCTTGTTGGTGAGGGTGGGCAAGCCTGGCCAGTATTGATGGGTAATTGTGTATAATTCACTCCGTACACATGATCTGCTTCAATACAAGTCATTTTTTTCATTCTGTGCTACTCAAAGCTCAACTCTTACCTTAGAGTCGCATTTAAAATGCTCATTAATGGAGGGGTTCAAAAGATGGGAAACCATAAAAAAATCTAGCGCTTTTCAAAGGAGGAACAAACAATCCCACTCAGATCAGATGCATCCGTACAGACAAGAAAGAAGGGAGAGGAAATGACAAAAGTTTTTGTGTCGAGAGAGCACAAGAGCAGGTGATGTCACCCTGCTGAGGAGCCTGGAAATGCAGAGAAATGAGCAAAAATCACACGAGGCGCTGGAGTCTAGCAGCTGCAGACAATTACGTGAGGAAGATTATGTGTCTACATTTATAAGCTTTAGCTAATTATTTCATCTGCATGTGTTCTCACAGCGCAGTGCAGGATTTAGATGTCCCAGGAAAGTAGGAGCCGCTGTTTTGGAGCAGCTTGAGCACTTGTGGTGCTATCAAGATGAATTTTAATTTGTTGATGTTAATCCAATTGTTTTACAAATGTAGCAATTTGGAGTAGCTGAAATAAATCCCAGGCTTTGGAAAGGCGAATAGAAAAGCCCACACCGGCAGTTATTTTGCTGAACATGATGAATCTGAATTTTAATTTCAGTAAAATACAATTACACATCTTTAGCTGTGGGGGGAGTGGTGTGTGTGTGTGTGTGTGTGTGTGTGTGTGTGTGTGTGTGTGTGTGTGTGTGTGTGTGTGTGTGTGTGTGTGTGTGTGTGTGTGTGTGTGTGTGTGTGTGTGTGTGTGTGTGTGTGTGTGTGTGTGTGTGTGTGTGTGTGTGTGTGTGTGTGGAGGGGATGGATATTGACAACAGAGAAGACATTAGGATGTTAAAACTTCCTGGTCTGACCTGTGGGGAAAGCCCGTTTCCGACCGGGTTCATGTGGTTGCCGGAAGCTGAGGGGCTCATGAAGGTATCGGAGTAGCTGGAGAAACTGTGGCGATTGGACGTCAGGCCGTAAGCGGAGCTGCTGTCAGCGCTCAGACCTCCCTGGTGCATGGAGGACGGAGGAAGTGGCTGAGGTCTGTGCAACGTGCTGCTGCCATCTGACACAAACGATCAGAAAAAGGAGAAAAGGTGCATAAACATCTGTACTTATGCAAAACCTTCAGGAAGCGCCCTCAAGATGAGACCTCATAAGTCACAGATTAAGCGTCCTCCGTAAGAACAAGCGTCAACATGACCCCAGACTCATAATGCAGGACTTGTTTCCTTTCCGCTAAATATTGAATTATAAGGCTAACTGCTTGCTGCATGGTTCTTATGTGCAGCACATGATTCATACAACTTTATTAACATGTACATAAAATATGACAAGCATACCACAAATAAACAGGGCTAATTTAATATTTATCAAAATTGTGTTAGTCAGAGAGCACAGAGTGTCAGTTTTACCCTGTGATAGCGTGGTGCTGGGGTAGCTTGACTCTGGGAGCTGGTATGTGGGTAAGGTAGGCATGCCTGTGGGGGGGAATCCTCCAGGAAGCAGGTGATTGAACGCCGCTAGTTGATTGGCACCAGCCTGCTTACGCCACCGAGCTCTTCTGTTGCTAAACCACACCTGGAGGGAGAGATAAATGATTCAGCTTTACTTTTAAATGTTTTTTTGTCCTCAGGAGCTCAGACTGAAGCCCTGTACACACATAGCCGAATATCCTCTCCCAAGAACAGAATTGGGTTCACACCACCTCGTTTTCAGCTTAAAAATCCAGTTTATTGTGAAGCACATTAAGCATGTAGGTGGCAGTAGTTCCCCAAATCTTTAGTATCTTTGCTGAAAAACATTCCTTGGATGTGGAAGAACCAGGTGGGGGCAATAACCGTCCTTAATGTCATCCTTTGCCCGGTCTTCTACATAAAGCAGGAAGTGAGCTTGCAAAAACAAACAAGCAAGCTAGCGGCCCTGACAACATGCACGCCAGCCGCGTGCAGCCGATCAAGCTCGCAAGAGTCACTAAGGTGCTTGGAAGAACTGGTTCCCAGGGACAATGTAGGTCCGTGTTGAGTTCATGGACGACAGCAACCGCTCCATCATCAGGAACTTGAAGGGCCCAGTCAGAGAAGGAGATGTGCTGACACTCCTGGAGTCTGAAAGAGAAGCCAGGAGGCTGCGATAGTTGCCACTGAAGCGGAGAAGCAGCCGATGCCACCAGTACCACCTGCTGTGGACTACATCACGTTTTCAGATGTTTTGAAATAAAGTTGGTTAAGAAGAAAAAAAACAAGCAAGCTGGTGTAAACACAGGGTGCATGCGCTACGTAGCATTTACGTCATGGGAAGCGTCCAGAAACAAACGCTGACAACAGAGATTTTACAAATTTCCACTTTGCTTAAAGTGTTTCAAAGAATCGTTAAATCTTTCCTTTGTTTTACAAGATACCCAGCTGCGCGTGTACAAGGTTGGTGGAAGAGATGCTTGTGAGATCGGGGATCCAGAACTATTGTTCTTGAGAGGTTGAAGTTGTGATCTGTGCAACCAGACTGCTCTTTAAGCTTCCTTCAGAGAGAAGAAGTCACTAAAAGGTCACTGGCAGACTACTATCCTGCTCATCACACTCCTCAAGTGCGTTTGTACGGCTAAAACAAACTTTTAGCCGGAGCGTTGCTTTTTCCAGGTATACTGAGTCACTCCTGTTAAAACCTGAAAAGTCATTTTAGGAGGGGGAAAAAACAAGACTTTTAAATTTAAAGTGGAGAAAAAGCTCACAAAACGAACAGCGCCAAATGTGCAGACACACAATGTCACTTCCCTGAATGAAGGAGGAGAAAAATAGAACCCTTTAGAAAGGCAAAGATTTACCCATTTTAAAAAGGCTTCTGCTTCAACAAAACATGAATATAATCAGGGCCTTTTGAAAAGAGCCAGCAACCTGTTCCATTTACCCAAGACAAGGCCCGAGCTTCGCTGTGTGCTTGGGGTTGAAGGACATTGATCTATGCCTCGCACAGGCAATTCATCAGAGTTTAATACACTGTCAGCGCAGTTCATCTACTGTTGTGTTTCAAACGGCCGGGGCTATTGTGCGCACACTTGAAAGAGGGGGACAAAAGCCCCTCCATACGCCACGGAGAACAGTGGACACAAAGAGGGGGCGTCCCTTTTAAACAGGTCTTAAAGGAGGGACACTTTCAAGGGGACTTACACGGCGACGCACTCTGCATTTTGGGGGCTGCTTCTTTTTACGGGTAAATATACATAAACACTCGTATAGAACTACAAGGGATCTCAGTCTAACAGAGATCTTAATTCAAATGTGATTCTTTTTATACACAAGTGCTGCTTTTAAAGAGACATTTAGCTCAGTTTACAAGGGAGGAAATAAGATGCGGCAGGCAATGACTGTGTCAGCGCTCCAGAAAAAGGGACAAGTGTGAAGTGTACAAGTGGAAAACCAACAGGAAATCTTTATCTCAAGCTCGAACGCTTCTAAAGACCCCATCTGAAGCCCCCAATCAGCTATTCCAAAACAAATGTGAACTGGGGCTTGGTGGAACTTCCACTATTGGGATGTAGTGGAGCGTGGTCCGAGGTGTGAACGGAGCTCCAGCCGGGCCAGACAAACAGCTGCCTGGCTGTGGGTAGGGTGAGGGGAGGGTGGGAGGACACCCCCTTCCATCCACACACTCCCAGTCACCCCACCCCGCAGTACCACTTCACCTCCGACCTCATCCACTCACACCACCCTCCTTTCATGCTCACTTTTACTTGCTTCCCTCTTTGTCATCCGGGTCTAGGAAGGAGGTGACTCATCAGAGAAAACCATTAAAACTTTGAGTCTTTTTGCTTTAATGTGTCCATTTAATAGGAATTTCACAAAAATAAATCCTAAAGGTTTTAATAAGTCACCCAGTTGTGTGAATATCAAGTCTATTAATATAACATGTTTATTCATGCTTGTGTTGCTACGCTAAAAGGATTTTGAAGTAAGAGTGTCTTATGTAACTTCGCAAATAAATGTGTATTTTTAAATCTGAGTTATTCAGCCATGTTTCTCCTAGTACTTGTTGAAAAAATATTGAATCAAGTTATATTATAAAATACTTTCACTCATAAATATACAGCAAGAGCATTTTAGCAGCCAGGCAACTCCAAACATTTATGAATTAAAGGTGTATTTCAACACTGTTTGACAACTTTTACTTTAACATTAATGCGGGAAAAGCGAACGAAGCACTTTTAGTCCAAAACTCCAATGATCATCAATTTTTTTTGCAGAAATGGGGCTCAGCATGCGCACACTCAAGTGGCAGTGCACATGTTCCCATATGCCATCACACGCATGCATACATTAGCAGCACAGCCTAACGCTGCAGCCTGAAGCTGAGGATTTGAGGCTGTGCTCTGGAACCTGATCACAAAGTCACCTTGGAACAGAGATTCTCCTCTGCTATCCCCAATCCGGTTTAATTCTCCGCAGAGCAGAGAGCTGCAGCGCTCCCCTCGGTGTCCCCCGTCCCCCATTTACCTACAAGTGTGCAGCTGAATTAACTTCTGACTTGTTTTCTTGGACTAAAAAGGTTTCCTTGCGACTCTGGATCATTGTGGAGAAAGTTTTTGGGAGAGGAGAGAGAGAGCTGTAAACTTTCAAAAGTCAAGTTCAGTCCTGCTGAACAATCAGACCAGAAAGAGAGAACAGAAGACTGGAGTTAATGTTGCTTCAACCCACAATCAGATTAAAAACGTGTTGGACTAAAAAAATAAAATAAAATAAACAAATTGCAATCCCTGCTTAATGTTTGGCTGCATTTCATCGCTTTTTAAAAACCTTCCATTCAGCATCAGTCAAAAGAATTGATTTCTTTAGCGATTAAGTGGTGTTTTCATCCCGATCAGCGATAAAACACACTCACGCGAACATTGTAAAGGCGTGACACTGCACCACAGCAGGGTAAAATAAAACCCTCCGTGTTGTTTCCCTTAAATTGGATCATTCAAATGTCAGAATTGCCCATTTTATACAATCCTCCATGAATTCTTTGGCCAAAGACAAGTCCTGAATGTGTGACGCCTTTCAGGAGCCAATTTGCTACATTGGGTAGATGAACACCAAGAGCTGAGAGATAATGACAAAACAAAATGTGCTGCTTACTTCATGGCCATAAAAACACAGAGGGGTGATGCAACTAGCTTCAACATACAAATCCTCCTCGGTCTCAAACCACGCAACACCCCCACCCCCACTCATCCTCCTCCTCCTCTTCTCTTCTTTCCCCTCTGATTCCCTCCCTGCTTGCCTTCCAGACTGGCACTATGCTAATTAAAGTAGCTAGGAGTGTGAATATGTGAGGAGAGTGGGATTAGTTTGATAAGTATCAGGAGTACAGAAGCACTGTACCAAAGTCATTTAAATTCTAATAATAAGAAAGTGTTAGAACATTCATACTGATGCATTGCAACAATTTCTCCCCGACAATCTACACAAATCCTATTTATTCCTTTATGAAAGTAAACCCACACTGGCAGGAATACAGCTGCCTGTCGGGTTTGGTTTCTACCAAAACGGCTCTATTGGGGATTTTATCGCTCAAACTTGACTGATTGTACAACAATGGAGAGTGTTGCATTTCTATGTAAAGTAAACTTGTTTTAAAAGCACTTGCATGACTTTAAAGTAGGGATGTAAGAAAACATTAATACATTATTACAATGTTCAATATTATGATATTGAATTGATATTTAAAGCTGGTATAGAGAATTTACAGAGCAAGCTAAGTAGCACATGCCACCCTTGGAATCTGATTGGCCACTCCAGGTGTCACCACACAAAATTACCTTCAAATAGGCTTTTCATGTTCCACAAAAGGCTCGGGGGTAAAACAAAAAAAGCATAACCATTGGTGCTACCCATGCACAAAGTTGTGCCTCACCTGGGCCACTCCAGTTTAAAAGATCTGGACACGCCACTGTGTTAACGTCTCTGGTATGACCCGACTGGGATTTGAATCCCAATCTCCCACTTTCAGTGTTCTACCCACCAGGCCACTGAGAAGCATCTGGCCTGTTTTTTTTTTTTACTTTTTTTGTCTAGTTTTTATATTGGGAACAAACATTCACATTTGTGAACAGTCTTGTTACGTCTATCCAAGATGCTGTGGTAATTTAACTTCCATTAATGATCTTTGCTGATGACAGTCTCATTTAAGAAATGTCCATATGCACTCAAAGCCAGTGCACAAAAGACAAGTTGTTAAGCGGTTTCCATCTTTGTGCTATAATTTTCTTCATAGCTGTTAATGCTGCAAGCCTGATTCAATGGGTTTTCTCAGTATGTGATAATCGTGAGTCGTCCTTTATTAAGCCAACAACAGGATCCAAGGGGACAGGGACACCACTTAGATTCTGGCCCGAGTTTTCAATTTAAATTCAGTCTTAAATATCAAATATCGCCTGGCTTTTAGTATCGCAATACATCGTGCTGTTTCCTCTGTAGTGTGATATTTATCATATCGTCAGATTTTGGCACACCCCCAGTTTAAATTCAGCTGCAGAGGCTTAAACACACATGCTACATCTGGCCTCTTCTCTGTCGGGCCCGACACAAGCCAGAGATGAGGAAAAAAACTTTTTACCAAATTGATTTGCATGCTTCGTAAAAAGCATTGCTTGCGCCTTATTAGATTCCACTAACTACAACAGCTACACGCAGAATGTTTATTGGTAATGAAAGAGGGCCTATGTGGCAGATTTGGTAAAGTGAGCTGGCAGCGGCGTGCTGAGAAGATGAGCTCCAGCCTGGACTCTTAAAAGTTCAGTCTGAATAGGAGGTGAGTGTGATTGGCCTCATCTGTGAGAACTGATTTACAGTGACCTGCAGCCTGTCTCACCCCCCCTCCCACCTGGTCTCCCATCTACTTCAGAGGGAGCACAAACACAAACGATCCTCTCGTGAAATGGCTTTGCTGCCTGCTCCTGTTATAACTGAGGAGTTACTTGATGGAAAGTGGCAGAGCACTCTGCTTCAGCAGAGGACCTAGTGAAGGTAGACTTGGCAGCGTCCCCTCCTGTGGAGACAGTCTGGAACTAATTGCTGAGAGATATGGATCACATCCCACAATTTGTCAGCCGAGGTGATAAAACCATTGCAAGGGTTGTGGTGGTGAAGGAGCGCCCGTGGCTCGGCAGGGGAAAAAAAAAGGGGGGGGGGGGGTGCAGTGGGGCTGATCAAGATAAATGGCGAAGGGGTCTTCAAATGGCAGGCGAGGGCAGATGTAAGGCAGTTAGTGGTGTTTATGAGTTTAGGTTGTGAGTCAGCGCTAAGCCAAGCACTCATCGCTTCCACGAGCCTCCATGGCCTTTTAATTCACAGCTTTGACTGCCAGGGCAGCCTTGATTACAAAGGTGCTACCCACACAAATTACCTCTGCGCCCGACCCAAAAACTGCTTTCCACATTATCACCATCTTTAATAACAAATGGTCAGCGGTGAACCATGACAGCTCACACAAACCGGGGTTAAAGTACTAGTGTGTGTGGGTTCTCTCAGTCTCATGCTGAGGTTCATTCCTGAACGGCATCTGGAAGATCCGTCATTGCAGCTGTGCAGGAGAAGCTTGCACTCAGGCCAAAGGGTCTCCTTTCTCTTGCCCTGGACTTTTGGGCACCCATGTGTCAAAGCCCAGCTGGTGGGACAGCTTCTCGTGTACGCAACAGCAAATTTACATTTCACCAGCATTCTTCCACATCGGGTTTCACATCAGCTGTTCACGTCTTTTAGCATACCAAAACAAAACCAAAAAAAGGACTGTGGGATTTCCAGCAGCCGTTCGAGATCACAAACTAGAACAGATGGAAAGAAATGTTGACCCTTTGAAAAAGTGGAAACTGCAACACAACTTCAAGCGTCGCTTGTTCTGTCATAACCATCTCAGAAAATCAAGTTTGAGTTGACCTTTTGAGACGTTCAAAGCCTGAGACAATTAGATTAGAAGGAAAACAGCATTAACAAATTAGCCATGACTCAAATTCCTCAGGTTTTCACATGACATCATTTAGGTTGATTATCTAACTCCAAAGAGACAGCGGCGGCGGCGGCGGCGGCGGCGGCGGCACCAGTGACACCGACTGCTTTCTTCTCCTGTGCTCATTTATAGCCAGCGCTGGCAGGCTGCTCTGTAAACACCCAGGCGTCGTTTTAAGCACGAATAATATATGAAATGAGGTGTTGCTGTCCTCCATGATGACTCAGAAGAGTTTATGTTATTCATCATAACTATAAAAATGAAGAAAAAGAAGAGGGTTGTTCACTCCTCCTGCTTCTTTTTCTAACCCAAACTACAAAACACCAATTTAAATTTAAAGTCAATGTTGTCAACATGTGAAAAGATTTCAATTCATCACCCTTTTTTTTTATGTAGCAGAATCTACGACCAAAGAGGAAACAAACAACATGGATATACATATTTCCTTCCCTCAGAACTATTGGATATGCATGTTGGATGGGGGTAAGATGGACAGTGACATGTGTGGAATCGGTTTCCCAAACTGCGTGTTTGCAGTGTGATGAACAGTTAGCATGCGGCGAAGAGTCTGGGCGGTTTTAGAGTGAGTGTGAACCACTGTGGTAAGAAGAGAGGGGTGCCCCAGACGACTTCTTCTTTTTTTTACTAGCGGCTCATTGATTAATGTTGTTGATGGGGGCACGGGGTCCCTAGAGAGGATGAAGAACTCTGTGTGATATGTGGAAGGTTTTACAAGCAGCGGCGAGCTTGAAAGTGGTGGGATGAGATCCTGGCCAAAGGCCGAAATGAGAAATCCATCAGGAATGCAGTCCCTTTCTTTCCTCTCCTCTTTTTTCCCTCCTTTCCCATCTTTGGAAGAACAGCTGCCGCTGTAACTCTACTGTACACATCTTCCTTCAATCTTGCTCACAAGTGTAGGGAGCTATGGCTGTCAGAGCGGGCTCCTCGGTCTGGGGTGTGAAGACAGGAAGTGTCTCTGTCAAAGCACTCCAACACGAAGGATCAGAGAGGACGGCGAACATTTCACACTGAAATATGATTAGAAAGGGAAACATGGTCCTGATAGATGAATATATCACTGTAGTAAGAAAAGAAGGGAAAACTTTGGGAAGTTTTTGGTCAAAGATGTTGTGTTTTCACAATTGGGGAAGTTTATAAGCTTAGCGTCTGTTTAACGCGCAGTCGTGTTGGTGCCGAAACCAAAAACACAAAACAAATAACAAACAACGAGTGAGATGCTGATTTCTCTGAGATCATTTTTGACTTGCCTTTCTTTAAAGCAGATTTATTAAAAACACAATCTTTGTGCTCCATCCTTTGAGTCCTGCACGTGTCTATCTTACCTGTACTCTTGCCTCTGTGAGTTTTGTCCTCTGAGCCAACTCCTCTCTGGTGTAGATATCAGGGTAATGCGTCCTTTCGAAAGCCTTCTCCAGCTCCTCCAGCTGCTCTGCAGTGAAGGTTGTGCGGCTGCGCCTCTGCTTCCTCTTCAGAGGTAGATCTGGCTCCGAATCCACATCTGAACCATCGTCTGTGCGGTTACCTGCAGTAAAAAGAAAGAAATGCATCATGGGCTGAGTGATCCAATGATGTATTTTAACCATCTATACACAACAGTGTTATCAGCGTTCCAAGAGGCCTCTCTTTATTCCGCTCAAGAGAGCAGGGATGGCCTCTGAGAGGATTCAAATGACAGCTACTCATCTCTAAATACACAACTGGGAGAATATTATCTTAATCTGTGGATATTTATTTAATATAGAAGAGGCCCTGATATGCAATCCCGCCTGCGAGAGGGGCCCCAGAGGCTGTGATGACTGAGAGCCGAAGGGGAGACGGGTGCTGGTTGGTAGAGGGGTTAATCTGCAGAGGCCACCTTGCTGCTCCTCGCCCTGCTTTTCTCTGTCATTGGCCCAGGGCACATTGCTCATACACAGCTCAGCCAAAGTGTATAAATCTAAGCACAATATCACACCAGAACCATTCAGTCCCATGTGTTTCCACCTGCTGTCACTGAATGAATTAGAGCACATTTTACATTACTTTTTAGGCATTCAACTAAGCTGAATTTCAGCTCGAGGAACACAGATACAGCACAAAGCTGTGCAATCCGGGCCGACAGGGACATTTTTGACAGCAAATACGCATTACCATTGCACATTACCATTATAACTGAATTTAGAAAATTGCATCATTTTCACCTCCCCTGCATGTCTATTCAAACTACATGGCCCTTTTCATTTCATGTCACAAAATTCTTATTTTCATAATTTCTTCATTGAGACATTGACAAGGCAGAGTGACGTGCCAGTGTTGCTCCGGGCCTAGTTGGATTGCATCACGCACAGTCCAGAAAAGTGTGGGAGAAGGGAAATAAAGGGAGATGTTGAAGAAGAGTGCGCATGAAAAGATTTCAGCTACCGACAGCGGCCCTTTGCCATCCAGCTACGATGAGAAAAGCTCACCTGAATGCCTCGCCTTACCCCGAAGCATTGTTCCAACGCTCCCAACACTGTTTGTATTTCACTCCAGCCAAATCTTTCAGCATAAGTGTACAAAAGAACACTCAGACCTTGCCTCCAAATAACAACTGTGAGAACAAAAGAGCAAGAGAGCTGACGGAGTCTCAAGGCCAGCTCCAGAGTTTAATTAAACAAGGAATTATGGGATTATATGGAGACTATCATTACAGGCCACTCTATGGGTCTTCTACGAACATTTTTTGTCCCCCTGAGCTCGTGCTCAATGATTCTGTGAGGATTACATGTGGCCGCAGGACATGAGGCTGCATTCATTAAATCAATTCTTCAGTCTTATCCTTTTTAATAAAGATTGATTCTTGAAGCACAAGCTCACTCTGCTGTAGGACACCCTTGAACATACAAAGTTGAATATGTACATACACCACATATCCCTTTGTTGGTTTTCATGAGGATGCGTATATCCATTTGCTCTGTAACTCGCCGTGACGACACTTGAGACCGGCCCGGCAGTCTGCAGATCGCTTTCTAAAGTCACCTCTGTGTCCCCACGGGGAGGTGTTGGGGTCAGAGCCGACACATGCTCAACGGGGTTCTGAGCAAGACGCACAACTCGGCTCCTCCTCAGATTGTTTCCTCACCGTCCCTTTTTTTTGTTCAAGGCATCCGCGTCAACTTCATTTCGCCGGTAAAACCTCCGTGGCAATTTGTGTCACATTTAGCATGCTACCAAGCTAATGACTGTTAAAGCTCAGCAGACAAAGACACGGTACGGCTGCTCGTCATTAAGCCTCCGCAGAGCCAACGCATCTGCTCTTGTACATGAACCAGAAGGTCAACATCCTTGCATGTAATGAGTAAGGGGAAATGGAACATGGCACACGCTGAATGGGATTGAGGTTGGATGTAAAACTCATCTATATGCTGACTAAATTTAGAGAGCGGAGGGCAGAGAATATCGTGAAACACATGGCTGCTTCCCTGCAGCTGAGGGTGAATACGCATCAGCAAACAACCACCGTCAAAGCTGCAAATACCGCCAAACAGCAAAGGACAAAACAAGAAACAAAACCCCTGCAGGACTGTCAAGGGCAATTCTTTAATGGTCTGCCAGGCACAAAGAGGTAAACTCTGATTAGACCTTTGTATAATACAAATGCTGTAATTTTCACCCAAAGGTTCATGAGGTATTGATAAACCACTCATGCCTTGTCTCATTACTTATTGTGCAATTACAATCTAATTATGCACCATCCAGTGGGCACGATTAGTGCTGTACCCTCCTCCAGGGGCCCTCCCAGCTTTTACCTCAATATTGATTTAAAATTGTGGCCAATATAAGTAGGAATTAATCGAGTTTGCGCTCAGCTTTGTCAAGGTAAATGCCCGATTAGGCTGTGGGGAAAAAAATAAATCACCAGGGGCAGTGTAGGCAAAAGGTACTTTGATCTTAATTTTAATGGCTTCTCAAATATGTCATTTTAATGCTGAGGATTTTAAGGGTCCAGAGCAATAATAACATGATAAATCCAACCAAATATTCACTGAAGACTCTGACAGACACTGACTGTATTCTGCAATTATGAACAGATCCCTTGCAAACGAATGTATTTCACCACGGGATAATGTTTGATCACTTAGTAAACTGTTTCTTGCCAGAGAAAAAAAAACTGAGATACTATGTTTAGCTTCAGGAACCATTTCACAACCTTTACAATTAGATTCAAACATCTTCCAGATGTGATGAGCTTTTTTTCTCCCTCATTGCCTTTGTGCAATGAAAATGTTGGACAACGGTGCTCCTGGAGAAAGCACCAAGTGCAGAGCAGCTGACGTGTGTGTGATCGGTTATAAATGAGGCTGTTTCACCAATCGGATTAGGCTTTAGCCATGAGGTGGTGGGAATCAGTTATGGTTTTGATGGAACTGGACAACATTCTTAAAACTTTCAATGATTCTTTGTAGCGGTCTTTGTCACTACATTGGAAAAAAAATGTAAAAATTTGTTAAATATTTAAAAAATCTTTCAAGCTGTGCTGAATAAAAAACAAGAAGTGATCTGTGTTTAATCAGAGCTGGAGAACTCTACACAGCGAAGGACCTCGGTGCATGTGGAAAAAGCGCATGGTTTCGCCCTGCTGTGATTGTGCTCTAATGATGTTTTAAATCTGACCAGACCTTTCAGATAAAACAGCTCTGGCTCTTGAAGGACCTGAACTGCTAGTTAATAGTTTGGAGGTTGCTGTGAGGTTTAAAGGCTCTTCTCTTCTCTCCTGCTCCTCTGGTGACCTTTCAGACAGATTTCAGGCAGATGGGATCCTCATCACACTGCTTCACCAAAACCAGTCATGATGTGGACCCCCTCCTCCTCGTTACTCTCCCTCAACCCTCAAACTCCTTCACATCTTCACCTTTACCCTTGTGAGATGCTGAGGTAATGCTGATTAAGTAGACAGCTCTCTACTCAATGCAGAAATTAGCCAGGCAATCTGTAAATGTACAGCTTTATGACACATAACGACACCAATAAACCAGGCTGTTGAAACATACTGAAATGGAGTGTTACTACCCTTAATCAAAGTGTAACAATCAGTAAAGACAACATCAATCTTAGTAAAATTGAGTTTGATTTCTCTAAAACACAATTAAACAAATTAGGGGTGTTCGACATTATCTTTTGTTATCAATACACTCATTTAGTCTTACTCTTCACTTCCGATATCAATATAAACCGGAACCAGAACACGTGGGGTCCTTCATAACTAAATACCTAAATTATTTTAGCTAACTAACATCACGTATCTCTTATACCTAAACTTTGAACATTATTTGTGCAAAATATGACAACTTTTTCAATTTAGGTTGTCAAACAAACAGAAACATCTCAACAAAACCTAAACCTCATATCTGTTACTTACTTTTTTGAGTTTTCAGTGAGAAGAGACGTAGGTGAAGAGTTAGATGTAGAGTACGGTATGTAAATATGTCATCAAAAGAGTAAATCGGATACCAATAATTTCCAATATTACATTTTAATGGCAATCGGTCAATAATATTTGCAGGTCGTACAAAGTTGTACAAACCTACTTAAATGGCTTGGTAAAACTTTACAATAAGGGTCCCTTTATTGACATTACTTAGTGCATTATTAACCATTAATAAACAAAAAGACCCTTTACTGACGCTACCGCTAGTATTAATTATTAAGTGTCCTTAAGGTTAGGACAAAGCACAGGGCTTGTAATGCATTACATAATATGATCATTTTTACTGTTAATCTCTGGAAATATCCATCAAAATGTTGTTAAAAATAAATGAAATGATGCCCAGTTGTTGAAAAATATTGGTGGCTTCTTAACACATTACGATAAAAATCTGTTCTAAAATTCATGGGAGTGGGTCTAAGTCTCTGGGCGATATTTGAAACGATGATTCCTTCTATGAGAAGCCGCGTGGACTTATTACTGATTTGTAACAGGCAGTTACAACACTTCTGCCATTTATAAATGTTGTTTTACACATTTACCTCATTGCTCGTTGCCAGAGATGAAATGAAGTCTGAACACTTTTGCTGGCGCTTGCGCCCCCAGGGATTTTTGACCCTAATGGCCATCCGTTAGCAACTCGAACACAAAAATACTGCTGGCTTGCAATGATTTAGGTATTTGCCTCCTATCGCCAGGGAAAATACACATTTAAACAATTGTTAAAACTGTATTTAATAGTTTATTAATGCTTAATAACACAATAAGTAACAGTAATAAAAGGCCCCTTAATGTAAAGTGTTACCAATGGTTTTTATTAAAATGAGCAATCTAGTAACTGTTTTCACTGAGAGACAAAAATAGAAAATGTGTTAAAAACATAACAAAACATAAAAAAGAGAATCGCCATTTTACAGAAGTGCAGGTGTCCCTTAACCATCTCACCTGTGTGCAGCAAGAGCTGAAAGTAAAGTAGAGCCAGTCTTAGTGTTCCTGTGCTATCACAACCCACGGCCTCAATATCAGCGATACCTCTGCAAACTATCCAAGACAGAGGGACAAAAACAGACGGGGCTTTG